CCTGCTGTGTACCTTAGGAGTTCAAGTTTTTACATATCTCTTCTGCCCCCTGCCTCCCAATTCACGTTTCTAAAATCAAATCTGAATTTTATCCTAAAAAACTTTTGTGCCTAAAAGTGCTCCGAAAAAGGTGAGTAAATTCCTGTATACGTGTTTTGAGGGTTGCTGCCTAAAATCCTACCAGAAAAACGAAAAAAAAAAAAATGCTCAGACAATCTGGTTGCTGCGTGAGAACAGGTGGCATTTTCCGCAGATAATACGTTGATAGGACAGACTGTTGGATGAGAGCATTTTTACGTTCAGTTAAGCTTTGTGAATAATTTTTGATGTTGCTATAGGTATGTACAAAAAGAAGACAGTGAATACTGTAAATAAAAAGAACTTTACCAGAACATCTAGGTTTTACTGAACTTCATGGAGAAATTTTTTGTACCATTTCTGTACAGACCAACAGTTTCTAGTCTGAGATTTACGGTGGGAACAAACTCGTTTGCTGGCCGATCACATCTTTACAAGCTTTATTTGGGTAGAGGTGTCTTGTAAATTATAGAGTTGCCTTCAGAACAAAAGCATATGTTGACTTGTTTGGACGTGATCATCAGGATTTCTTCTGTCCTCTCTATGAAAACCAGTCCTAATCCATTTTGGTAAATAGCTCCACTCTGTACTTCTAATCAGAGTGTTCAGTAACGGTGGCCTTTCTTTCGAAGGTTACATGTGCCAAAAAGTGATCGGCTATGGCGTGGAGTTCGGCATGCTAGTTATCAGACGACTGGTGCCCTGGTTGCTCTCCCTCCCCGCCACGCTTAGTGTAGTTTCTCCCACTCTGAAAGTCGAATAAGACTTACAATTTGGCTGTTGTGACAATCACAGATTCATATCGTGTAGTGAAAGGAACTACGTGACCTGCTCAAAAGCATGTCATGTCACTGTATTCTTAGGGAAGCATCTGTTGTTTTTAGATTTCAGATATTTATTTCTTAGGTATTTACAGCCCTTTTCAGCCTGCAGAAGTTTTAGTCCTGAGCCTAAGACTTCAGCCATGTAGTAGATGCTGCGCCTCCGTGAAACTCTGCTGAAACAGCGAAGCAGCAGGCGGCAGAATCATTGTTCATTCAAGGTGCGTGAGATGGAGTGCTTGAAGAAAGACATAAAAAAATGGGCTTACTAACGAGACTGTTTCTAGCAAGCCTAAAATTTGTAAGCACGTGATGAGTGTAAACGTGCAAAACTCGAGTTTTGGTTAAAATTTTCAAGACTTTACCGAAGGCTTATTTTTACAAAATATTGAATGTTTTAGCTTTTGAATTTAAAAATATTTTTTTTTCTTTCTGTATACAATGCTTTAGTATAAGCTCCCTCAATTCCACAGTGGTGAATTGAGTAGGAGGGAGGAAGTTAAAAGCCAAAGCGTGGAGCTGGCAGGGTGGGTTGGTAGCCTGTGCTTTTCCTGTAGTTGAGAACTCCCTGCAGAAGCTGAGAGCAAACGCAGCAGCTCAAGCCAGGCTGCCTAGACGGAGATGCCAGGGAGCTGCTCCGCCAGCCAAAGGAGAGGATCTGAGCAGGAAGGTAAATGCTGACAAGTTCAGTGTAAAGCTGTGCTGTCCAAACCAAAAATCCTTGCGGTGTCTTTGAGTCAGAGCTTTGACTTGGTCGGGCCCTGCTCCCAGAGCAGGCTGCTGGGGTGCCTGGGGGAGCCCCTGCCCTGGCCCTGTGCTGCCACCGGGCAGCGTCC